TACAACAACTAAAACTCATTTCTGATATACAAAGAAATTACGATAGTCTCTCGAAATAAACATAATATCATTATTTATTTGAATAATCAAAGTTTTTTTTTAAAGATTGCATATCTAATCATATCATCGTTAAATTAATCTAGTATTTTCTACCAAGACATGTTGAACCTATTGAAATCTCTTACTGTTATGGTTAGGCCGAATGCCTTTCGAATGCCTTTATTCAAAATATCTAATTCATATATATGGAGAGAGAAATAGAGAGATAGAAATAGAGAGAGATAGAGAGAGATAGAGAGAGGAAAACAAAAGAATAACACGACAGAAATATGTTGATGTATATTTTATCTAGTGACATCTTGTCACTGTAACATTCTCCCCTACAAAAAAATATGACAATCAAAGAACACTAGAAGATAATGTTTTGTTTTTTTTTTTTCATTTGATTGTTCCGGATCAACGTGTATGATGATGATAACGATCATGACGATGGTAATGTTGATCATGATTATATTCATCACGACGACGATACAATTTTTCTTTTGTGTGTTTGAATTGTTCATAGTGTTCACGTGTAAATAAGGTATAAATTTTTCGTTCACTTGATTTTAATTCAAATGAGTTTTTAATTCCTATATATAATTTTCGTCGACCAGTAACAGGTGATGGTAGTGAAAAGTTTACAGCTGTAACTGGAATACGAAGTTGACGGAGTATGTCTTTTATATTCCGAACGGTGAATCTTGGATCAAAATTGTTGCGTATAATTTCGTGACGATAATATTTTCGTCGTTGTCGAAGGGTGCAACCACGATTGTGAATTTTTCGTTTTGCGTCTTCCGTAATTGATGGACGGCGATGACGACGTCGTTCAGATTCAAGTTCAGGTTCAACTGGTGGTGTTCGTTGATCATCTTCTTCACCTGGTTCATCATTATTTGTATTCAACATTTGATTATCTTGAGATGTTGATAATTCCATTGGTTCATCATTATTTGTGTTTAACATTTGATTATCTTGAGATGTTGATAATTCCATAGGTTCATCATTATTTGTATTATCAGTTGTTGTAGTAAGTTGATGTTGTTCCAGTAGTTCTTGTTCATATTGTTGATCGATATCAAATAATAACAATTCTAGTCCATCATCTAATTCATCTGGAACAATTGGTGATGACTGTTGTTGATTAATTAAATCCATAGAAATGAGTAACTGAAACATCGCATCACAGTCATCAGCAGCATATCGAGTGATCATTTGACGATATTCTACTTGATTTGAATTTAATTGAACTAAATTTGGATCAAGTCCAATATCAAACGGTGAACGTGTTAGCCGTTTGTCTAACCATTTATGTAATTGATGACCGACGGCATCTTGGATGCTCCATGGATTATTTGCTTGAATTCCAAGGCATTGTTCACAGATGCATTTGGATATTGTTGAATCATGTGCGTGGTTTTTGCACCAGTATAATTTAAAATCATTTTGAAGATTTTTATACATACATCGATGAATTTGTTCGGAGGTGAATAAACCAAATTGAGTGAAATTTTCCAATTCTTCAATTGGACCCCATACATAAATTTGATTGTTTGATTGAAATAATGATTCAAATACAGTTTTAATTAATGCAAATGTTGAAGTATGTGGTTTTGGTAAATGATGAATTTCAATAATTAAGATATATGTGTTAAGTTCACGTGTAATTATTTGAAACTGAATAAGAGCTGATTTATTTTCTTTTTTAAATACACAGACTGATTCAGTATCAAGAACGAATAATGATGATGAGTTTATGATGTTAATTAATTTATTTAATATTTTTTCTGATGTTTTAAAATTCAGAAAAATTAATTCATATGGAGAAGATTGAAACGGTGGATATGTCGAAGCATACTGATGTTCAATAAGCTTCTTTCGATATAGTTGACGTATATTTTTTCGATTTTTTCCAGTAATAGATTGTGGAATATTATTATATTTCCATAAAGTGTCTTCGTATTCTGTTTGCGACAACATTTCTAAAACAAAATATAAAATAATTGTTATTGTTTTTTTCAGAAATGAATCTTAAAATAATCTATCCGATTCTCATAGAAAATAGGAATCTACTATCCATATTTTATTATTCCAATGTACGTATGTCAATAAAAATGAATCTGAAACATGTTCTACATTCGATTCTCAGTGCCCAGGTAAGAATCTACAATAAACACATTCGATTAGATTTCGTATAACAAGAAATCAACGATTAATAAATGTGCCATATTGATAGTAATAGCCCTTCACTACCAGTGAGTGGGGGAAAATCACACTCTCCGACTATGCCATGCTAGATTACGTCGCATATGATACATCTAAAAATAATTAATAAGTCTGTATGGGTTGACATATACGGATCTCTTTATAAGAGGTCCTAAATTGTTAAATGCGTTGGAATATTGGAAGTAATACGTCTGTTGTTACTTGACGATGTAATGTTGGTTTTCGGATATGCTGTACGATAAATGTTTTAGGTGTAAGTTGCTTAATAATTTTGAATGGTCCTTCGTAACGAATATCAAATTTATGGCGCATATTAAGTACTCTAACTAGTACTAAATCACCAGTATTGTACGATGGGTTCGAGCGATTTGTATCATATCGTTGTTTTGATCGTTCTTGACTTGCAGTAATATTTTGTTTAGCTTTTTCACTTAAAGATGATAAATATTTCGTCAGTTTGTTTATCTGTTCAGGATCGTGAGATATTATAACGTTGGGATCTTGATAATCAAATGGTAATACAGGTGTTCGACCATACATCATTTCAAATGGTATTTGTTTGGTTGATGAATGAATTGATGCATTGTAATTGAATGTGACGAATGGTAATTGATCATCCCAATCTGTTTTTCGTAAATTTGAAAGAGCTGCAATTTTTGCATCCATAGTTGAGTTGTATCTTTCTACTTGACCATTCGTTTGCGGATGATAAGGTGTTGAGTATAGGTGCGTTGCTCCAATTTGTTTAAGTAATTCATTCGTTACTGACGAGGTAAAATGTGTTCCATTATCAGTTAATATGCAATGAGGTGTACCAAATTTCGTAATAATATCTTCTTTCAGGAATCTAACAACCGTTTGAGCACTATTATCACGTACAGATTTAGTAACGACAAATTTTGATAAAATATCGGTAAGGGATATAATATATTTATTTCCACGTCGTGATGTTGGTGTAATTGGTCCATGAAAATCCATCGATACTAATTGCCATACACCTTCTGGAGGTTTAATTGGTTGTAATTTACCAGGTGTTTTTTGTCGACGAGGATTGTATTGAGCACAAAGAATACATGATTTAATATAATTGTCGATATCTTTATACATTGAGGGCCAAAAATAACGTTGTTTAATCTTGTGTATCGTTTTATCTCTTCCAAAATGAGCACCATTTGCTGCAGTATCATGATATATTCTTAATATTGTTCGTCGAAGTTCACCATGTGGTACATAAGGGACTGGAGGATTTGATCGGTGCATAAGAAGATCATTTGAAATAAAATATTTTTTATATTTCTTGATGTTGTTAATTATATTTTGTGTATATTCATCATGTTGTTGAGTTTGCAGTAGTTGTTCCATTGAAAATGGAGTTATCCGATTCTCTTCTTGAAATAATAGAGAATCTTCTATAGGATTCGTTGTATTGATGGACGTGTCAGTTGTTGTTTGACGTAATTTGACGGAACGTGTTTGAACAGCACTTACAACATGATAACATCTGTTATATAATTCATGATCAGTTTGTGTGGATTGTGAAGCAGTGAAAAATGTTTCATCAGGATCTTCTGTTGCATCTTCAACTGGAGATCTTGATAAATAATCAGGCATTGAGTTCGTTAAGCCAGGAATGTGTTTCACCTTGAAATCATATTCTAATATTTTTAATCTCCATCTTTCACATCGTTTATTTATTTGAGCTTTTTGATTTAATTGTGTTAATGCTTTATGATCAGTTTCCCATGTAAATTTTATTCCACTTAAGTAATTATGCCATTTGTCTAATGCACAAATAAAAGCATAACATTCTTGTTCCATTGGAGACCATTTGCGTTGCGCTTGAGTAAATTTCTTAGATAAATATGCAATAGGTCTATCGCCTTCAGGATAAATTTGTAATAACACTGCTCCGATTCCCTCATCAGAAGCATCCGTTTGGACTTTAAAAGGGAATCTGTTGTTAGGAAGTCGTAGAACTAGATCAGTTGTAAGGAATCGTTTCAGTTCTTCGAATGCTTTAATTTCATCATCAGCTAATGTAATCTTTGTTTTTTGTCCTTTCTTTTGTTGTGTTCTTGTAGTTGGCACAAATTTTCGAAGTGGTTCAGCAATCTGTGAAAAATTTGGAATAAATTTCCTATAATATTCTGCTGCTTTGACGAATTTACATGCTTCATCTGCAGTTTGAGGTACTTGTGTATTTAATAAACCATTTACATTGTGAGGACTTGGACGAATTTCACCATTTGTAATTTGATGTCCGAGATATTCTGTTCGAGTTCGCGCTATTTCGCATTTTTCTGGATTAAGACGGAATCGAGTATCTTTCAGTAATTGACATATTTCTTTAAGATGAGAAAGATGCTCTTCGAATGTTTTCGAGTATATAATCACATCATCGATGTATGCTAATGCGTATTTCCATCTTGTACGTCCTAACACATGATTAATTACTCGTTGAAATGTTGCGGGTCCATTAGTAACTCCTTGTGGAAGAACAGTAAATTGGTAATGGTTATCGCGGGTCGGGAATGCCGTTTTCGGCCGGTCCTCTTTAGATAGAGGCACCTGAAAGTATCCAGACCTGAAATCGAATTTTGTGTAGTACATTGCATCAGATAATTGGTCGAAGATTTCATCAATTCGAGGAAGTGGAAATGCATCTTTTATTGTTATGGCATTTAATCGACGATAATCAATACAGAACCGCATTGTTTTATCTTTTTTCTTCACGAGAACAATAGGTGATGACCACGGAGATGTTGATTCTTCTATTTGACCACGTTCTAATAACTTCTGCGTTTCTTGAACTTTAATTTCTTGATCTTTGTTAGATGCAGGATATTGTTTTGAATAAACAGGTGGATGGTCACCAGTTTTGATAGCTGATTGTGAAGGTATATTGATAATTGATGGTGTTGGGTCAAACAATATTTTGTTTCGCCATAAAATATCTTGAATTGCTAGACGATGATCTGAATTTTCGATGTGTGCTGTCGATTCGAAAATCTGTTTTCGAATCTGATCCGAATAGCATTCTGCACGAAGATGTTTCTGTAAATCATTTCCCGATAAGAAGTATTCTTGACATTGATCACAATAATTATTTCGTATTGTTTGATCCGAGTTATCTTTATTATATGAGATAGCTCCGTTTCCAGAATTTTTTGTATTCTGAGATGATTGATGATCTGTTGGTGGTTCTGGTTCTGGATTGTGAATTGTTGTACATATGGAAAATGTTGTATCATATGATATAGTTCCGATGCGCGTATTTTTTGAGAGTGTTTGTTGACGATTCTGAGCATTAATCAGTAAAACTTTTGTTTGATGATTATTGACATTTAATAACGTGTGTGGTATGAAAATAAATTTTGATATATAACGATTATCGGGTTCGAACATTAAATTATTAGCATTAGTAACTTGAGAGGTGATGTCAACCAATGCTTGTGAATATGGAGGAAGAGTGATTTGATTGACCAATTGAACAGGATAATTAATGGAGAGTGGTTCGGTATATGGAATTCGAGTTAATTGACCATGTTGATCAGGAATAGTTAGATGTTTCTGGTCGCCAAAAAGATGGACATGATTTGTATTAATCCAATCATTGCCTAGTAAAATTGGTGTAATTAGATTCGTTGCTACATAAGCAATGCCACGAGTTTCAATATGTTTAACTTTAATATTCAATTCAATTTGTCCGATGATATTCAACGGTGTTGCATTTGCTGTCTGACATAGATGTTGTTTATTGAGAAATCTATTGTGTTGGATTGTTTTGAGAAAATCGAGACGAATAAGTGAGATGGCGGAACCAGTATCAACGATGGATTCAATTGGTTGATCATTAACACGAATTTTGATGTAAACGGGAGAAGATGTTGTTGTTGATGGCTTGAAAATTTTACTGGGAGCACCGCCATCCTGTGACCCAGTTACTGAAAATTCGGAGGCATTGGACAGTCACGGACAAAGTGACTTTCTCCACAGTTGAAACAACCGGTTGATTTTTTATAAAAACAATCAATTGTTCGATGATTCGTTCGACCACACACTTTGCATTGATTCAATTGTCGGTATGGAGTGGATTGATTGTTGGAAGACTTGTTGTTGAATGTATGTTGATGATTTTGATTTCCAGGTGCTTTTATTGTTTTATCTCGTGTTTGATGAACCGAGTTCCTTTGAGTAACGGAGCTCCGATTGGAAAATGAACGTGAATTCCGATCATCCTTATTTGTTGGATGGTACTGATGACTCAATCGTTGAATTGCAGCCGTTAATGGTTGAAATGTTGGTTGATTGAATTGTATTTGTTGTGATTCGAGTGATAGGTGACAAGATTTTTCAAATGTTTCATGTATATCTTGTTCGATTTTAGCATATTTAATAAATTCGGTTAATGATGTTAGAGTTGATTGCCGTCGTAAAAGTTCTTTCCGAAGATCAGGTCGTAATCCACTCATCAAATATTGTATTATTATCAGGTCTGACATCGTTGGATCAATTTCTTGACAAACGGTCGTAACATCGTCAATGTATGATATGATGGATTCATCAGGAGATTGTTTTCTTCCTTTCAATTTATCGAATTTCTCTTGAATCATTGTTGTTGAAAAATATCGATTTCGAAATGCGGATTCGAAATCTGACCATTTCTTGAAAGCAGTTTCATTATTGTCAAACCATATGCCAGCTGATTTTACTAATTTACCACGTACAATTTCAAGAATCTCCTGGTTTTCCGATTCATCGGTTGCTTTCGTTATGCTTTTAATAGTTTTTAAAAATCGTTCGACATCCTCGGATGGATGTCCTGAGAAATTTGGCAAATCATCTAATCGAGCTTTCAGTGATTTTGCTAGTAATGTCTGATCAGTCATTTTATTTGTTTTAAGTTGAGGTATTGACCTTGTATTTAATCTCCTATTTGATAGTGAACGAGATTGTAAACGTAAAGATGAACGTGGTTTTGTGCGTGATAATGATCGTGTTGATTGATGTGTAATAATACTATGAAGTAATAATTCTTCTTTAGTTTTCTTTATCAGTGATCGTGTTCCGAACGCCGTGATCGATTTATTTTGAATTACAATTTGTCGACGTAGTAATGTATATATATATATATATATATTTACGAAATTCTTTATTTCGAATCTCTTTGATTACGATATTCTTTATTTAGAATCTCTTTGATTACGATATTCTTTATGTAGAATATCTTTCTTCGTATTTAATTCGTACGATTTTCCTTTTCTTTTCTTTTTTTTTTTTTTTTTTTTATATATATATATATATATATATATATATGTATGTATATATATATGTGTACGCAATGACCCTTCTTACTTTTAGATTCGAAAGATGTCCTTTACAACTATATTTTAGTTAAGAGAAGACATTTTAGCCCTTTTGTTTTTTCGTTACCGTTTAATTAAATAATTTAAATGTTTAAATTAACCAGGTCTCCTTCTAGAGGCCTTTATAAATTATCCGATCTCCTTCTAAGAGATCTTAATTCGATCAGTTGATGTATGAGCCGGGTCTCTTTCAAAAGAGGCCTCTAAAATTTGATGTAAATTTAATTTTAAATTAAATTAATTTTGTGGTGTTGGTCGTGGTGAAAATTTAGCCAGGGTCGCCAATTGTTATGGTTAGGCCGAATGCCTTTCGAATGCCTTTATTCAAAATATCTAATTCATATATATGGAGAGAGAAATAGAGAGATAGAAATAGAGAGAGATAGAGAGAGATAGAGAGAGGAAAACAAAAGAATAACACGACAGAAATATGTTGATGTATATTTTATCTAGTGACATCTTGTCACTGTAACACTTACTCTCATCTACAAGTTGATAACGATACGACTTTTCATTGAATATACTAAGTTGTTAATTGAAATTGAGTATAAATTTTTATAATAATATTATAAAAACATATAAAATTAACTAATAGGATTATAATAAATTCACATATTATCTAAAATAAAGATTACATACAATTACATAAAATAACTAAACGTTTTAATATTATTATTTATTGTAGTCAAAATGCAATTTAATCTAAGAAAATTAGTACTATTAAAACAAATGATATAAGAAAATGAACAATTTTATTAATAGAATTAAATTCTTTATCTATATGACATCAGTTGACGAGTCATTTATTTTTAAATAGAACAATCGACATACATAGCGTCAACTCATTTAGAATTAAATCAATTAACTTCAACCATGTTCATTCTATAAATATAATTTTACTATTAGTTGAACCTATTAAGGGGACCCCCCCCCTTTCCCGGGTTTCTGGGGAACGGCAAGGCAAAAATTCTTGAAATTTTCAGGGTGGATAGGTCTCGAGTAGTGGAACAAAAGTTGTAGCGGACAAAAATTTGTCAGACCCCCCCTTCATGGACTTTTGGAGACCCCAAGGTCCAAAAATAGCCTAAAGTTTTCCCCCCTGCAAATCCACAGATTTCATCCGTTTGAGCTGAAATTTTTTTTGGTAATACTCCAACTAAGTTCTGGAGAGGGTTTTTTTTTTTTTTGAAAAAGTCCTAAAACTTTAGGCAGGAGAGCCAAAATACTGAAGATCTCGAAAAATCTCTAGCATTTTAGGATCTTCAAAAATTTGCAAATCCTGCCAAATTTTATTGCTAAGAGATATCAACAAAAAAAAAAAAACCCTCCCCCCAAACTAGTTAAAGTATCACCAAAAAAATTTTCAGCCCAATCGGACTTAAACTGCCCGAGAAAAAGGGGGAAAACTGGTTTTTGGTACCCCAAAAACTACTTTCGAGAAAAATGCAAAATACAAAAAAGTTTTAAAAAATTTTACTATTTTTCACTTATTTTCACTAATACGCTACTTTTTTTGCTAATTTTGTGGTACAAAGGGTAGTTTAGTATGGGGAATCCAAATCTGAAGTCGGTTTTAATTAATTAATTAATTAATTATTAATTAGTCACTAATTAGTCGTTAATTCGTGTAATTTTTTTTTTAAGATTGAAAAAGGGGTATTCGTACATGGAGAATCCGAATCTGATGTCAGATTTTATTAATTAATTAATTAATTATCCTTAATTAACGTTTTTTTACAAAATTGAAAATTCTCAAATTTGAACGGAGAACCGGAATATTATGTCAGATTTAATTAATTCAGTAATCAATTAACTGATTATGCTTAATTAACGTCTTGTCTGGAAAAGTGAAATAACTCAGATCAGAACGTAGAACCTGAATCTGCTGTTAGATTTAACTAATTATTAATTATTAATTAATTATAAAATGGAATCGAATATTCTGATGAAACACATTTACACGTAATAATGAATAAAGCATCTTTCTGAAATATATTGCAATTATTTAATTAATCTTTTACTAATTATTAAGAACTTATTTTCTGATTATTTCAGGCAGTCAAGTGTCAGTAAAACTGAATGTGTAAAGACATCGAAAGTTTTGCGCCCTCTGCTTTTATCATTTATACCTTTTAAATTTTTAGTCGTATTACCCTTCAGTCTCAAGTTTTTCTTTAGTAAGTTCCATCAGATATCCTTTAGTTCTATATAAACTTTATCTCTCTATAAGAAGAAACAAAATCAACAAGCTTTCATTCATGGCATCCAATAGCAAACAACAAAAAACAATTCGTTCAAGGTATGTTTATTTATTTATTTAAAAAAAGTTTTAACACAATCAGTCAAATCCTCCTCGTGCATAGTTATATTTTTCGTTTTTATTGAGACTTTGTTCAGTTAGTATTCGTCGTTGTCGTGCTTTTTGTTTCGTGGATTTGGTTTTGACTTTATGTTCTTGTATTCGTTCATCATCAAGTAACTTGGCCATCCTAACACATGCAGGAGTTCTACTATGAATACCACATTTTTCAAGCAGTCCCATAATTGATAGTTGATAACCATCATTGTAAATAATAGCTGCTAAAGATGCAGCAGCTTGAACATAACTGGCGGAGTGAAATTGTGTTTTAGGACACAAGGACCAAATACAACTGTGATAAGATTCATTTGGATTGGTTGTTCCTCCATCGACCACTTTAGATAATGTATCATCAGAGCACATCTTTTCATAAACAGGTCGAATTGCTTTCATTACATCAGGTGCCATAGTATGTTCACTAGTATCAAATGATTTGTATCTGTATATATGACACTTTGCAGGGTCACAGTAATCATGATTAGGATTTTCACGTGTAGAATTGTAATGGTGGAATGTAGCTAAAATATAAAATATTTATGAGAGATATTAGTATGAACAAAACATACCCCAACAAGCAGCTTTCATTGATTCTAAATCATTCACGTGAGACCTAATAGCAGAACCATAGTAAACAGTTAATTGATGAATCTTATCATCAGTTAAACGTCCACTTCGACCTCCAATTTGTTTACCATCGCCTAATTGTTTACCTTTATATTGTTTCTTGAGTGTTTCTAGAGCAGTGCGCATTCTATATTAAAAAAATAGATGTATTATCATAATAATAATTATATTACCGTTTCGAAAAATGATTAATACATTGAAGACGTTTAATAGTAATATCTCCATATGGTTGAGCATCACGAAGTGCACGTTCATTATTAGCATCACCGTCGCCGATGTATGTTGTGTATCGTAGAAGATATTTGCATTCTGATCGACGAAATACTTTTACAATCCCTAAGAGATACCAAATAGTAGTAAAAACCTTTTAGCATAACTTATTCAAACCTGCAGCCTCCATTCCACCTGATGAACCTTTATGATTTGCTTCACAACCATCCTGTATATGTTCTTCTACAAGTTGTTCATACATTTCAGGATTGTGTTCTCTAATTCCTAATAAGCCAGAACACGTGGTACAGTGTCGACTTAGACATTCAAAGTCTAATACTTTTGGAGGATCTGATGTTGAGCAAACAGTTGCTATTCCATGTAAACTAGAATGGCCACGACGAGTGAGCCATGTTCCATCAACTGAAACTTTGATATTTGTAATTGCTTGTTGATCAGCAGATTCAGATGATTGTTCTCTTGCTTCTGTAGCTACAAATATAATTATACAAAATATCATATGATAAACAAATAAAAAAAAGTGAATTTTACCTGCGTTGTCAAGCCTTTTATCTTTTACGACATCCAAAGCATTTGAGTATAATTTCTGATATTTGTTCCAGTATTCAATTTGAACTGGTGGTAAAATATTCAACATACCTAAAACTGTAGTCATACCTGTTCGTTTGATTCCAATAACATTAGCTGCTATACATGCCATCATAGAATTCATTCTAGTATCACATAATACCCTTCCCATGTTGAATTCCTTTGCTGCACCAACGTCTATAGCGTGATTATCGATTGAATATTTCTGAAAATAAGTATCGTGATATTTGAATGATTCTATATTGAGTTCATCCATACGTGAAGTAGATGAATGAACCAGTTCTGTTGAATTTTGAAAATGTGTTTCATATGAACACTTACATGAAAATGTGATATGGTATAAGAGACCACGACGTTGAGTAACTTTCTCAGACATTTTCCCAACACGACCACATGAAGGACAACGAAATTTATTAACTAAATCTAATATCATGTTGATGCTAACGATAATATTAACATTTGTGTATGGAATATCATATGATACAGATTCATCTTCATCTTCAATAGTGGTTTGTGTTGTTGCAGTTGATTTAGTAAGAAGCTGAGCACGAGATAATCTTATTTTTTTTTCTATTGTTGTTGATACATGTTCAATCGATGTTCGTACAGTATTATCTATCACCTTTGTGCTTTTTAAACGTTTGAAGCGAAGATTCTGATTTTGCAATCGTTTATCAATATATTTTTTACCCATCTAAAATATAATTATTATTTAGTGATGGTCGGTCATTACGAGATGCACAATTAGAAGCAATCAAAACACTTCTTGAACGTTGCTATCAAGATGAAAAAGTTACTATGCCTTCACGTATTCATCGTATTTTATTTAAAAAAAAATACGATCAAATTCCAGCTCGACATCGTATTACTACAGATAGTGGTGAAGTAACTGATGTTGAACGACGTGGGGCATTTGTAAGTGAGATAAATAAAATTTTATCTATACAATCCATGGAAGAAAACCACTTACTACCACCAGTTATACTTCAACTGATGCGTCTTCGATTTCCAAATGATCTTGACAAAGATAAACCTCTCGAAGACGCACTTGATGTATCTATTGATAAATTTGTTCAATGGACAAAGGATGTGAAATGATTTTATGTATTTTCATTTATTTTTATTGCATCAAACAAGAAAAAATAAAATATATATAAAAAATAAAAATAAATATTTTTATTAGAAGTGATTATGACTAATGATGATAATTCTCTATTCTATTCGTCAGGATAAGACCAATAGATGCATCAAGCATATCAAGTATGGTCAATAATAAAAGAAAAATGGACCAATATTTAACCTTGAAAATTAAATATTTGAAGAAAAGATGTCACTTGATATAAGAGTTTTATGCATGATATACGATACCGCAATTTCAGTTTTCTGGGACTCTATGAGTCGATATGGTTCCAACTATCACCAATGAAGAAGATAACATAATAAAACATCTTTAGAAATAACAAAAAAAAATTTTTTTTTGTCATATATGTTGCAAAAAAACTTGGTTTTTCAGAGACCTATTGGTCTTTGGGGGGGGGGGGGTTATACTATAGATATATTACATTGTAATATGACTTAATATCAAAAAATAAATAAATAGAATTTTTTTCTATAGGTCTCCAAAAAACCGGTTTTCCAAGGACTTCCCGACCTGGGGGGGTTCTGATTTTTATAGTATATATATGTTACATTATAATATAACTTAATACTAAAAAACAAAAAAAAAAATTTTTTATTTTGGTGGTTTCCAGAAAACCTGGTTTTCCAGGGACTTCCCGACCTTGGGGGGTTCTGAGTTTTATAGCACACCTAGAGGGGACCTTGATACACCTTTACATAAAATAAAAAAAAAATCGAAAAAAAAAAATTTTTGGCTCGGGAAAGGGGGGGGGTCCCCTTAATGCGATGTTTTATTTAACTTATCGATTCATTAAAACGCGCATTTCTTTATAAAAAAAATTCACTTCTTTTTTTTGTTTATATTTTATTTTTAATCAAATGAAACGCACTTTACCAGAAAAGAATAATCAATTCGTAGCAACAAATTTAGTTACTATAGAAGGATATATTGTTCATATTAATAACATTACAAAAAATACCGGAAATTCTAATCATCATTATTCATT